TAAATATTGGTTATGCTTCCCCGTTTTTTGGTGCATATATTTAAAAATACACACACTTCCCGAACCCCATCCAAAATTCCCATCATTCGCTTTTCTTGGTTAATATAGGGTCGCCAACCCCCAGGTGGGGCCTGGAGATCTCCCAGAATTAAAACTGATCTCCAGGAGACAGAGATCCATTCCCTTGGAGAAAACGGCCGCTTCAGAGGGTGGACTCTGTGGCCCTATACCTGCCGAGGCCCCTCTCCTCTCCAGATCCTGCCCTCTCCAGATCCTGCCCTCCACTCTGCAGGAGCTTCCCTGCCTAAGGTTCTTCAGTGGCTGCTCACTTGTCCCTGCTCACCCTTGACCTCTGAAGAGCTGAGAACGAAACTTCTGGAGTTTTCTGTGTTCGGCTGCTTTTCTCCTTTCTGCCTTAACAGCTGCTGACGGAGGAGGCGAGCCATTAATCTTCTGGGTATTACTGGACAGCCCCAGTTTTCTGCCCAAGGACAGCTTCCTTCTCTCCCTCTTCTCTGGAGTTACCAGGCATGTGCTGCACACACAGTGTTGCTCAACTCTGTTGTCCAAATGTCTTGGGGGGGGGGGGGAGAAAAGAATCTGGAAAGCAGGAACTGTTCACTGCTGCAAGAATAGCCTTTTGCATTTGAGGTCACCCGCCTTGGCAAATCAGCGAGTTAATGGGGCCTGAAAAGATTACCCTCCTTCAGAAAGATGTAAACACTCTCCTTTTAATGTAAGAGAAATGGGCTTGGATGCCTTTCATCTCCCTCTGCACAATCCAGATGGTTGGGCCCTCTGTCAGCCCCACCACATTATAAATACATGATAAAAATATCTAATGCACAAAGTACAGATTTATGTCTGTGACATGACTGTGTTTTAAGTTCCCCTTTTCTATATCCTTCCCACATCCCCCTCCTTTAATAGGAAAAATATATAGCTTAAAGATTTGTAAAGTTTCATATCCGATTGCTTATTCCATGCTGTTAAAAGCACCCTGGTTAAAAAGTTGTCTTTTGACATGCCGTGTTTTTAACTCAGCAGGGTTGTACATCTTTTGTCATTAAATTTGTACCAATTCAAAAATGTATATTGTATTGTATTATTACTGTGTGTCGCCAGAACACAGGGGTGCGCCAGGCAAGTTCCAGTCTGAGCACAAATCCACACTCAGACAGCCCGAGTATAAGGAAGGCAGTTTGCAGGCCTTGCTGCTCACCTGGAGCTTGGTGGGCAAGGGGCCCCCAACCTTTATATGCCCATGGGCGCTTTTGACACACTGTGGTGGGCACAGCCAGGACTAATACATGGATGGGCTAGCGGCAAGGAAGACTGGGCTTGCCATACAGAGAAAGACAATTGCGGACCACCTCTGCTCATCCATTGCCTTGGAAACCACGCAGCCCTGGGGTTGCCGTGAGTCGGTTTCGATGAGGGCACACCGTTATTATTGTAGAACATGGAAATCTTAAGGATGGTGGAGCATGATGATGTCCTTAGTCTGGTGGTGCCACAGAACCTTTTTGTGTCCTCTCCAGTAGGGACACGACTGTCCCTACAGCTGTCCCCACATCACAGTGCGTTCTAGAGACCCTTCCTTCTGTGTTGGTGTAAATAAAGGGAGGTGGCTATGCTACAGCTTTGCAGATACTTTTAGAGTTCCTGGAATCTCCATCACACACACATCACAGGATGTGTCCGGGGCATGCTAGGGTCTAGAGACTTTGAGCTTGCCATGGCCATTTGGCGCAAATCACATCCTCCACGCTGCCCATCCGCCATGCCTCGGTTTATCTGTTTACAGAATTTGTATTCCGCCTTTCTGCCCTCACAAGGGCCACCAAGGCTGCTAACAATATAAAATGTACATGACAGAATCACATTTGAAAACCATTAAAGTAAAACACACATTAAAATCAAACACTGTGGTGGACTGGGCCTGCTCCGGCCTGCAGGCCCTATTCTGCCCTGCCCTCCAAAGTTTTCTCAAACCCTGGAGATGCTTTTCTTTCTCTCTTGGGTAGCTCACTGCTACCACCTTACCTTTGTAGGAATTGCCCACTGGGAGGGTCAGGATTCCCTTCCAAGTTCTCAGGCCTTGCCTCGGTGTGTCCCACTGCCCAGCACAGGGACAGTTTACTGCTTGGTGTGTCCTTCAAGGAATAGCCACTTGCCAAGTAACTGCCTTCCCTCTGGAACTTTTAAAATAGTGTGTCCAAGATGGTGGAGATCTGTGTGGTACAGAGAACCACTACCAGCACCTAAAATTATAAAGTATTTGTTGATTTTTTTTATTTAAAAGAAAATGTTCACAAGCAGACTTTTAGCACAGCACTGGATTGAGCAAGGGATTAAAAAGAAATAGGTAAAATGCAAATACTTTGTCTCTGTCTCTATACATGCCCTATCAGATGTTAAAATAGAGGCCAGGCTCCTAAAGCACAGGAAGTTACAGATCTCTATGGAGTTGCCATTATCTTGAAGCTTCCTCTAGTTCTCCAGGACAGCATATGGTTAAAATGACTGCCTCCTCCAAACCTCAAAGTTCTGTCTACTCTGGTGGACTCAGCACAAATGAGACCTCCTCCTTGCTGCAAGGAGTTCTTATCATTGCCCTTTTCCCTCCCACTGACCCCAGTTAGGCCAAGTCAAGGAAGTTTTTCCTGACGTCTCCAGAAATGTCCTTTCTGAAGTCTCTCTAGTATTTAATGCCTCCAGATTTCTGTTCCCTGCTTTGAAGGGGGGGGGGGACTTGGCCATCCCATTGTCTAGAGTTAGACCTGTTAGCATTTGTATGAAGGTGGACTAAGGTAATTCTGGAAAGCCATTGAACTGACTTCCTCTCATCTTGCCAGTTCTCTGCCTGGGGGGCGGGGGAGCTTTTAAAACTGAGAGTAGAGGTTTTGCTCATTTCAAACCTCCAAAGAAAAAAAATGCATTTTGTAACACACAGCATTAAAACAATTAAAAACATAGTTAAAATGAGTAAAACACCATGAAAAACAGCAATTAAAATATTGGTTAGGAAGGAGGATCATTGAGGTAATTCGAGGTGTCTACCAGGGAGAGGGGTCATTTAGGTCAGGTATGTCCAACAGGTAGATCGCGATCTATCAGTAGATCACAGAAGGGTCAGAGGTAGATCACCAGCCCCACTTGGTATCCTGGTTTGCTGGACAGGTGTTTGGGGTTTTTTTGATGATTGTTTGGTGGTAAAAAATGTTCGCAGTTCTTTCTGGATCTTTGTCTCTCTGTTTTGTTTTTGCTTATTTTGCTTACCAGTAAATGACAGAAGGTGCATTATAAATGGGGGGGTGGCGGTGGAACCCAACTTTAGTGGGTTAGAATCTAATTTGAAACTAATTTGAAACTTTATTTTCATGGTGGTAGATCACCGGCACTTTTGGCCAGAAAAAATAGATCACTACCTGTTTGAAGTTGGACATGCCTGATTTAGGTAATTTTAGTTATTTCAGGACGGGTAGCTGTATTAGTCTGTCTATGGCAGCAGAAAAGAACAAGAGTCCAGTAGCACCTCAAAGACTAACAAAAATTCGTGGCAGGGTATGAGCATTTGTTAGAAGAAGTGAGAAGTGACTCATGAAAGCTCCTCCCCTGCCACACCTTACTGCCACAGCTTACTCCCCTGACAAGCTTACTGGATCGTGGGAACTCTGTTGATGTGATTTACCTGGATTTCAGTGAAGCTTTTGATAAGGTTCCTCATGACCTTCTGATGGGCAAACTGGAAGACTGTGGACTGGACTATAGGACAGTTCAGTGGATAGGGGACTGGTTAGAGGACCTCCCCCAAAGAGTGATGGTCAATGGCGTTTCATCAGATTGGAGGGAGGTGTCCAGCAGGGTACCGCAGGGCTCGGTTTTGGGCCCAGTACTTTTCAATACAATGATCTGGATGAAGGAGTAGAAGGGCTACTCATTAAATTTGCTGGTGATTCCAAATTGGGAGGAGTAGCAAACACCCAAGAAGATAGAGTTAAAATTCAACAAGACCTGAATACTCTGGAGAAGTGGGCAGTTGCAAACAGGATGCAATTCAACAAAGATAAATGCACAGTACTACATCTGGGTCACAAAAATGTCAAGCACAAATACTGGATGGGGGATACGTTTCTGGGGAGTAGTGTATGCAAAAGAGATCTTGGGGTAAGGGTTGACTGTAAACTAAATATGAGCAGTCAGTGTGATTCGGTGGCAAAAAAGGCAAATTCAGTCTTGGGTTGTATTAAAAGGGCCATAGCATCGAAATCCCAGGAGGTCATAGCCCCTCTGTGTACTGCCTTTGTCAGGCTGCACCTGGAGTCCTGTGTGCAGTTCTGGAGGCCTCACTTCAAAACGGATGTGGACAAAATGGAGAGGGTGCAGAAGAGAGCGACGAGGATGATCAGGGGTCTGGAGACTGAGCCCTGCGAGGAAAGGCTAAGGGCCTTGAGAATGTTTAGTTTGGAGAAGAGGAGATTGAGGGGGGACACGATTGCTTTCTTTAAATATTTGAAAAGAGGTCATTTGGAGGAGGACAAGGAGCTGTTCCAGTTGGCAGCAGAGAATAGGACCCGAAGCAACGGGTTTAAATTACATGCAGAAAGGTAGCGACTGGATATTAGGAAGAAATTTTTCACCGTCAGAGTGGTTCAAAGGTGGAATCAGCTGCCTAGAGAGGTGGTTAGCTCCCCTTCACTGACAGCTTTCAAGAAGAGGCTGGATGAATATTTGTCAGAGATGCTTTAGGCTGGTCCTGCATTGGGCAGGGGCCCCTTCCAATTCTATGATTCTATGAAATTTTGGTAGTCTTTAAGGTGCTACTGGACTCTTGCTCTTTTCTACTACTTATTTCAGATTTTACATCAGTTCTGAAATGACTCTGATAACAACATATACCTGAATTCAACAGCCATGTCCATACCAGACAACCACCGGCTCTGTCTAGTTCATGATGGTAGCATCTAATTTTCTTTCTGTCTCTCTTTTCTCGACAGGATGACAAAGATTTGGTTCATGAATTTGTTGTGGCCGAGGGCCTGACATGCCTAATAAAAGTGGGAGCAGAGGCGGACCAGAACTACCAGAATTACATCTTGAGAGGTACCGAAACTCCATTTGTTTCTGTCATCAGCACACCTCCTTCTGCAACACCCCCCCCCCCTGGTTACTTGTTGATTGTGTTTTTGTCCTGCTTTTGAGCAGAACATTGGTTCACAAAGCCCCTTTCAGATCTGAAGTGCAATCCTGAGCAGGTCTGCTCAGAATCCCACTCCAGTCTATTCAGTGGGCTTGCTTCCAGAAAGGTATCCTTAGGACTGCACTGGGAACTGCCTTATTTGGAGTCAGGAAATAGGTACTGAGAAAACAGTCGTGAGAGTCTGACCCACAAATCAAGGTAGTCTACACGACTTACAAAAAGTTGTTTTCTATATATTGCTGCCAATAAACACTGCATAACAACAGTGAACAAATCCCATCAAATCATAACGAAAACCCTTGTATAAGAATAAATCAACATCGTCTCCAAATTTTATAACAACAACATTTCAGAAAACAGATCTTCCTCGGGAAACATTCTATACAGTGGTACTTTCATGCTCATAAAGTGCTGTACACAGAACCAGGAATGTTATAATGCATTTAGTAGTAGGATGCTGATCTCAAAGCTATTCAGGCTGCAAACATGCTACTCAGTTTCTGATGGTGAGAGAGAGGGCAAAAGGAGAGAAGGGAGGGGTCAGTGGGCAGCTCCCATTCAAGGAGAGAACCCTCAGAGTGACATAGCGCCCCCCCCCCCGTGTCCAGGCATGCTGAGTCACTCACTCCAACAGTCGGGACCCCTCCAGAAGCCCCCTCTCATGTGCAGGAGGAGCCCTTGGTGTCTGAGCCAGCTTGCTGACCATGGGAAACAGCCCTGCCTTTAGATCCTGAAACACCTCGGCCATGTTGTAGTGCTCAAGGCCATAACCAGGCATGGCCCTTTTACCTTCTGGCAGCCAGCTCTTGGAGGGGAGGGGCCTGTGTCTCCACCCCCTTGCAGTAGCCTTTAAGGCCTCAGTTCTCCCACAGCCTTTGCTGGAACAACCTCTATGTGATTCTGGGCTGTGGCTCACTGGCAGAGTATCTGCTTGGAATGCACAAGATCCCAGGTTCAGTCCCTGGCATCTTCAGATGAAAGCATCTTGCAGCAGGAGATATGGAAGATCTCCGCCTGAGACCCTGGAGAGCTGCTGCCAGTCTGAGTAGACAAGACTGGCTTTGATCCACCAGTGGGGTGATTCAGTGCAAGGCAGATTCTGTGGTCAGGAATGTCGGAGCCAGGCCCTGCCTTGACTTCTTCCACGTTCATAAAGGATGTTGTCATGTTGGGCAGCCCAACAAAGCGTGTTTTACAGTAGTCCAGCCACAAGGTTACAGCAGCATGGCCAGATCCACAGAGTCTGATCAGAAAAGAGAATGTTGGCCAACCACATGCAGTTGATACAAACTGCTCTTGGCCACTGCATCAGCCTGCTTTTCAAGCAGTGAGGCTGGGTCTGTGAGCACCCCCTCTGATTCCTTCATTACTCTGATTCCTTCGTTATTGCAGCTAATCTGCCCCGATATTTAGGCAATATTTTTCCATTACTGGGTTGGTTTTATATGGGTGCTCCTGATCAAAGTCAGAGGTCCTTTTGAATGTGTCTGATTTTTTAAAAAAAGATTTATGTGGAATTAGCAAAGTCATGCTCAAGATCCTACAAGCTAGGCTTCAACAGTACATGGTCAGAGAACAAGCTGGGTTTCGAAGAGGTAGAGGAACTAGAGATCAAATTGCCAACATTCACTGGATTATGGAGAAAGAAAGAGAGTACCAGAAAAAAAATCTACTTCTGTATCATTGACTATGCTAAAGCTTTTGACTGTGTGGATCACAACAAACTATGGCAGGTCCTTAAAGAGATGGGAGTACCAGACCACCTCACATGCCTCTTGAGAAACCTGTATAAGGGCTAAGAAGCGACAGTTAGAACTGGATATGGAACAACTGATTGGTTCAGCATAGGAAAAGGAGTACGACAAGGATGTATATTGTCACCTTGCTTATTTAATATATATGCAGAGTACATCATGCGAAATGCTGGCCTGGATGAATCACAAGCGGGAATTAAGATTGCTGGGGAAAAGATCAACAACCTCAGATATGCAGACGATACCACTCTAATGGCAGAAAGTGAAGAGGACCTTAAGAGCCTCTTGCTCAGGGTAAAAGAGGAGAGCGCAAAAGTGGGCTTGAAGCTCAACATCAAAAACACTAAGATCATGGCAGCCAGCCCCATCACTCCTTGGCAAATTGAAGGGGAAGTCGTGGAAGTAGTGACAGACTTGACATTCCTGGGATCCCAGATCACCGCAGACTGTGACTGCAGCCATGAAATTAAAAGACGCCTGCTCCTTGGGAGGAAAGCGATGGCGAACCTCAACAGCATGATAAAAAGTAGAGACATCACCCTGCCAATAAAAGTCCGCATGGTCAAAGCAACGGTATTCCCAGTAGTCATGTATGGCTGCGAGAGTTGGACTATAAGGAAGGCCAAGCACTGAAGAATAGATTCTTTTGAACTATGGTGCTGGAGAAGACTCTTGAGAGTCCCTTGGACTGCAAGAAGATCAAATCAGTCAATCCTAAAAGAAATCAACCCTGACTGTTCCCTGGAAGGCCAGATAATGAAACTGAAGCTCAAATACTTTGGCCACCAAATGAGAAGGGAGCACTCACTGGAGAACTTCCGGTATGGTGCGACGACGGGCGGGAGCTCGGGCTTGAGCTCCGAGCCGCCCGAGCCTTTTTCGCTCTTTTCCGAGCCCCCCAGCGATGGGGGAGCTCGACCAACGCTCTTGTAGAGAGTGTAGGTGCAAGGGGCTTTTTGCTGCCCCCCCGTAATTTGGCAAGGCGGGGGGGGTGACCAGAAGCGCCCTGAAGTGGGAGCGAGAAACGGTAAAGAACATGGCTGCCGTGCTCTGAAAAGACGCTGCCACCCGGCTTGTTTCTAAAGGTTTGTTTTTTCTTCTTTTTCGTGGTACATCACATTGCAATGATTATTTGGAGCTGAAAGGATACCCCTGATGGATATTTTCCCTTCTATTAAAGAAACGGCCGTTAAAAATCGTTTGGGAATTCTGAAGGACGAGCTTAGTGGGGTAAGAAGCAACCTTTGCTGAAAGCTTTATTACCCTTCAAGAAATATATTTGACTCTGGAGTGTTGCAGAAACAGTTTGTGAAATGGAGACTGTCAAGGTGGAAAAGGATATAGTTTCCGAATTTTCCTGGGAACAATTTCAGAAAAATTTGGTGGAGAAAGGCACGTTAGCATTTAAAGAGGCTTGTGAGAAGGCAATAAGAAACGTTGTAAGAGAAGTATTTGAGGTGAAAGAAAATAAAGTAATAGGACAAGGAACTCAAGAGCAGGACGAAGTGCAGGAAGAAGAAAGAAAGAAAGGGAGGAGTTACTTACATATAAGGACATATCAAAGGAGAAAAGAAAGTTTAAATTACGGAAAAAAGGAAAAATAACCGTGCCAGACTCATTATGGAAAGGAAAGAGAAAGGTGACCAGAAAGGAAAAACTTAAGAAAGGAGTAAAGAAACTTAATGCTTACAATCAATGCATTACTAGAGAATACAGAGGAGAATATTTGGAAATGGCTACGCAGGAATATAAAGACAGACGACATCGGAAAGAAAACGGGGAAAATCAAAATAAGAAGGAACTAGACTATCATGAAGATTGTGTATGCAAAATAAGAGATTGTTTATTCCCTCCAGCTTTCATAAACTGTATACCTTTGTTGAAAAACCTAGGAGATCAAGTGAAAATGGTTAAGTAATCGGAGATAAGGAAGTGGAGTTGGAATTTTAAAGGAGGTTGTAAAGAAGGAATTAATGATGGGGTGCTTAGATTGTGTAAAATTATTGCTTATGATTGATATGTTGTCAATATCGGTATATAATTTATTGTCTATATGGTAGGGATGAATTTAGGGCTTTATTGGGTAAAAAGGTGTGAGGGAATAGGATTATGTGGTCAGGATTATATTATTATAGGAATTCAAAAAATTTTGTTTTGGTTTCATTATGGTTGTAAAAGAAGGTTGGAAGTATGAGGGGAGAGAATCATGGGGGTGAAAGCTTATTTTGATAATTTAGAGAGGAAAAATATGTCTATATAATTTTTTTAAGGAATTCTATCTCGGGAATAAATGAATTGTTTATACTTATATAATTTATTTAGTTATTTAATTTTTCGTGAAGGGACCCAGTTTTGGTATCTTTACAGTGGTAAGAGAGGGATGGAGGTGTGTAAGTTTTTCTTGGTAATTTAGAATGGAAAATTATTGTTTATGATTGATATGTGGTTAATATTAATATATAATTTATTATATGTTTACTGTTTGTACGGTTGGGATGAATTTATGGGTGTATTGTTTAAAAAGACGGGAGAAAATAGGATTATGTTGGAATTTTGTTACTGTGGTTATGACTATGTTACTATAGGAATTCATGGATGTCTAGTATTAATAGCAGAACTTCTTGAGATGAGTGGATAGGATACTTTCTTAGAGGACTTGCCTCGGACAAATAAATATTGGTACCGTGGAATTATAAACAGAGGAATTATATGATGAGAGTGGACGTTTCAGTAAACTAGAAGGAATAAATACAAGTGAATAATAGGAAAATCAGCAGATGAATTTATAATGTATTGATATACGCGATATGGATAAGAGTAGAGAGGGTATAAATATGGGATTTATTTATTTTACATTGCATTTATATACCGCCCATGACCCCTAATGGGTCTCAGAGCGGTGTACAATGTACTGCTACTGGTCTAGTATTTAGTATATTTAATGTATCTTTGTTCTTTGGTCAGTGTGATGTATCGAGAAAAATATGTCTGAAATGCTATATATATGTGTGTATGTCTATTAAGCATAAAAATCCAATAAAAAAAAGAGAGAGAGAGAGGGAGGGAGCACTCACTGGAGAAGACCCTGATGCTGGGAAAGATTGAAGGTCAAAGAAGACGGGGACGGCAAAGGATGAGATGGTTAGACA